TATTTGGAATGTAAACATTTGCCTACACAAGTAATGATGGAAATGATCCATGGCTTATATAATACTCAGTGGTTACTTCTGAGTTGAACAACTTCTCTTTACTGTCAAATCAGTGGATCTTCAGGAGTTGGGTATGCTAATACAGAAGTAATAGTTAGCTCATTCTTCAGTTTGTTGAATTGTTGTTCAAAATCAGAAGCCTAACAAAAGATATTTGTTTTTGATTAGTTTGTTTAAAGGAGGAGCTATATCAGAGAATGCTTTTACAAAAAAATGACAGTAGAGCACAGTCCAAGAAATCATCACACTGGTGTTGGTATGTTCTAGACAGATTCTGTATTTACTTGGTCTGTAGACCTTCCCTTTCTACTAAATATATTTTCCAGGAAACACACTTGTCAACAAAATAATTCAAACTTCCTGGGATTCATCTTAAGGTTCTCTTTTCTCAACAAATCAAGTACTTTCTTAGCTTGTCATATGCACCAATTAAGGTACTCACATATTTGGTTATACCATATAAGTAGATGAGCTTGCCATTTTAGGGTATTCCATTTGTATTCTGATAAAGCATCCCAAAGCAGAGCAAATTCCTAGCAGTGGGTAAACATCCTTATTTGTTATCCTCCAGTAGTTCACACAAAATATTTTGGGTCCATTCTTCTTCTTCATGATTACAGTAAATATTGTCAAAGGATTAATACTCAGTTCTATTATATTTTGTTCTTTCTTTCTTTTCTTTGATAGTCTCAGCCTATTTTGCAAGTTGGAGTTGTCTGACCAATTGGCATTTTGGAGCTGCATCTCTGGTATCAATCATTTGAGATACTCTACTTGCTCAGCCTAGACAATAAAATCCACTAGTATCATTTGAGCAAGTCATGTAACTTGTGGCATTGTAAGTCCTTCACAGCTCTGGTCATACAGCTCTTGCAAATGAGGTGGTATGCTCCATCCATCTGAAAATTTAATTAACATCAGATTTCCTAAATCTTATATAAGGTGCCTATTTCTGATACTGTGCAATGTTCCAGCTAAAATTGACTTGGATTTCTTGGTTTGTTGTGACCTAATAATTTTATTTTTCAGAGCTATTATTCATAGCTCCAGCCAATAATGTGTGAGTGTAATTTGGAAGGTTTCTGCCACGCCCTATTCACTAGACCTAGAGTTGTTCCTAAAAAGACCAGGAATAAGTATCTCATTTCTTGGTTGTATAATAACTGCTCTCTTTCCTTTCACTGGTAGTTCAACCTCTGATTTTGTAATTGTCATTTGATGTGATAGTCTTGCAAAGACAATGAAAGTATTTGAAACAAGTCATTCTGATCCATATATCTATTAGGATTAATGTTACGTCACGTGTCCAATGAATGTTGTATATAGCCTTTTCCTATGCAAAAAACTTAACACATGTGTACAATCTTGAAACATCCAGTCAAAACAGATGTGATTAAATACATAAGGGTAAAACTACATGGATAGGACGGGCACCTCTAAAGGCCGTTTTTGGCCCTGCTATGAATTTCAATCACTCGAACAGACATGATAGTCTGGCATGAATCAACCTGTAATATTGACTGACTTTTGATGGAAATCAACACAATACCAATAATATTTTCCCAATATCGACAAAAATTGTGCAAAACTCTTCATACTGACTTGTTGGGAGGTAGGGGATACTACAGGAAGTATCACTTGCTGTTTTTTTTTCTCTGTTCAATGGAGTTTAGACCCCAAAACTGCCCGTATAGAGACACATCCTTTAGAAAATATTATGTGAATATACATGAATAAAGATATATTCCATACTCACTATGGAAGGGTGAAATTCGTGACTATTTCAGCCATTACATTATGAAGTGAGTGGAATTTCTGTTAGATATAGTTTATTTGTAGAGTTAGGCTTGGCTTGTTCTCTGCATTTACTAGTTCTTCATGGGTGTCGAGTAGCCAGTTGAGTGGGCTATTCTGTCATGTGTTGGGGTTGCAGAATTGAGAATAATCAGTTCATGCTCCTTAATGAATAAACTCTCCTTAGTGACTCACATACACCCTCTTTCAATCTCTCTGTGCCTCTCTCTCTACACATATTGTAGCGTATTTTGGAATTGGTGATGATAATACACCATGAGGGATGGTTTACTTATGTCTCTTATATGGACTAGGCCTACAGTTTTCTTTTTCTAAATGTTTTATTCCTCCACTGATTTCCTTTTGTACTTTCTAAATTTTGCCATTACAGCCTTTACGTACTTCATCTATGCATACTGTTACGACAGCGGAAGTCACGTGACGCTGGTAACACGTAATGAGTTCTAGAAAGAT